TGTCCGTGGGCAGGCAGTGCTTGCCGAGGTGATCGCCAATTCAGTACGTTAATTAAAGCGTCCATGACCGCGCAGGCAAATTCTAGCTGTCGCCCTAATAACGAATATCACGCACTTCGATTGAACGTTTTGTGCTTTGGGCGTGCACGCAACCCACAAGTGGAAACTCACAAACCAGTTGAGTTGGCTGACGGCTGGAGGAATGAAAGCGTCCCCCTTGCACAGAGCTCGAAGCTCATTGGTTCGAAAAAGAACGGATGACAAATCATGGAACCATAGCACACGCATGTGGGTTCTCACGTATACTGTGCACCACAAGCCCATTGTCCCTGTGATAATTTTTCTGACCCAATATGCTACAAACTTCGAATATCGAATTCATTAGGATCGATAAGTCACGCTTTCACGGTCTGTATTCTTACTGAGAAGTTGTTGGACCATTGTTCCTTCCTCTTTGTTTGACCGGTGTGTTATTGTTTGGAAGCACTCATCCCCGGCCAGAGTCTGCAAGCCGATGAACAGGATATAGGTACGAAACCGCGTAGCCCATTCTCACATCACCATGTCGTTCACATCCTCTCCGTATTTCTTAGGCATAATCATGAAAACAAGTATTACCATTGTGAACTAACTTGCATAGAAATGTTCAGTCTAAGCGCTGTCGAATCAGCTTTGCTCTCGGATTGCATTCTGTCACGACGCACCTTCGGCACCATTTGTCCGTACACCAATGTAGTCCAGAAATCAGTGATAACGGTGAATACGTATAGTAACATAACTACATAGAACGGTCAAATGTCTGGCAACAACGTAGACGCTCAACTTGCTCATCGGCGTTTAACTTGCTCTGCCGAAATCGCCTGAGGCAATAGGCTATAAGGTTTTGCAACGTTTCCGTCTTTACTGTGCGACATCCGTTGACAATACTGTCTTTTAGTTGTTCCAGTGAAATAAACGTTTTCTTGTAAGCTCGACTTTAAAATAACTCCATAGGAAGAAATGTAAGGGGTTCAAATCTGGTGACCGTGCAGGCCAATCCTTTGGACCTCTGCGACCGATCCACCGGTGACCGAACACCTAGTTAAGCTAATCCCACACCGTTTGTGCATAATGCACAGATGCACAATACTGAAGCTATAACGGCTGAAGCGAAGTGTCGAAGTAGCCAACGATAATCGGTAGTGAAAACATCTCTATCTTGTAGTTCCTATGTAATTGGTCAGCGACAGTTCCCTTACCATTGGAGAACCATGATAGACAGAGAAATGGCGGTAATCATAATTACGTTACTTGGCAAACACCGGGGGTAACGTCATTTGGGCAAGGCAAGTACGTGACCCTGGCTTGCAAGAAGCGCATAACGCAGCCTATTGTACTTCAACAGTTGCGTCTACCGCCGTCAACCTTATGGTAAACATCAACAGCGACGCCTGCACCCTATCGGACAATTGAGCGATTGCGCGTTCTTCACGTACGCGTCTTGTTCTGTTTTGGTGTAGCTTTTATTCAACCTCGACGAAGTATTCGCACCATTACCCATCTCAACAATATGCTAGTGAAATCAATCGTTATCGATTAAACATATATTTATATGATGTATGGTTCAAGCGTAAAAAATCCTCGAAGCACATGTTCAAAACGACCACCGCCGTTTCGCTTGCAAAGCAGTATTCGCGCGAAGTTATCGGCTAGCAGTTACCTCAATGTGTCCGCCGATATGCCGCGATATTCGTTGACAAAGCACCGTTTCATTTCCTTGAGCCAGCAACTGTGGAATACACAGGTCTGCAACATTTCTTTGTAGGAGGATGCTTAAAATAATTTGAAGCGTTAGTTCCGATAATTGATCAGGTTACCCGTCATAAATTCAGCGAAATAGATGTTTAACTTAATGGCGTTGTTATGCCTGCAGAGCAATACTTGTTGGATGCTATTTACTAGCACTTACTGAAATGTGTCCACCGATATACAGCGGCATTCGTTTACAATGTTCCGTTTCAGTTCCTCCAGACAGGTTGGCCTGGTGTTATGCACTAGGCGTTTTAAGTAACCACATAGGAAGCAATCCAGGGGGTTCAAATCAGGTGACCGTGCAGGCCAATGTGTAAGCCCTCCACGAACGATCCAACGGTTACCGAAAGTTCCCTTAAGGTAATCACGTACCGTTTGTGCAGAATCTGCAGGCCCACCATCCTGCTGTCATCAAACGATACACAATAAGCCTCCGGCCTACAGCTGTGGAATGACCCTGGACTGCAACTTTTCTTTGTAGGTGGATCCTAACAAATCTGATGCATTAGTTCTGTTAAAAAATCGAGTTACCCGTCACATTGTTGCAAAAGAAAAATGGTCCAGTAATCTTTTGCCCTATCAACATAGCCAACTCCATGAGATGTGCACCATGTTGCACACGCGAAGCGATGCATTGTCCTGTTGTCATTGGTAGCCCACACATGCCGCTTATCTGCGCCATGCAAACGGAAAGGTGTCTCGTCAGTACGCATGATTGAGTGCACGTCCATGATATCCAGATAATATCGGAAAAATGCCATACGGTTCTCTTAATCGCATGGATTCAGATTTTGGACCTGCAATGCACGATCGCGGTATATCGGTGGATCTTATGTAGAATATGCTAGCCCATAGCAACCGGCGAATACTGCCATGAAAGCGGAACGACGGTGGATTTTTGAACGTCTACTTTTTTGAGTTGTATGAAGCGTAAGTTTATTGTTAACAGAAGTAACGCTCGTTCGACAGCGCTTAGACTGAACATTTCTATGCAAGTTAGTTCACAATGGTAATACTTGTTTTCATGATTATGCCTAAGAAATACGGAGAGGATGTGAACGACATGGTGATGTGAGAATGGGCTACGCGGTTTCGTACCTATATCCTGTTCATCGGCTTGCAGACTCTGGCCGGGGATGAGTGCTTCCAAACAATAACACACCGGTCAAACAAAGAGGAAGGAACAATGGTCCAACAACTTCTCAGTAAGAATACAGACCGTGAAAGCGTGGCTTATCGATCCTAATGAATTCGATATTCGAAGTTTGTAGCATATTGGGTCAGAAAAATTATCACAGGGATAATGGGCTTGTGGTGCACAGTATACGTGAGAACCCACATGCGTGTGCTATGGTTCCATGATTTGTCATCCGTTCTTTTTCGAACCAATGAGCTTCGAGCTCTGTGCAATATGTGATTCTCAGTATCGGCGATGAGTAGGTATTGCCTAGAAATGCAGCTCCTCAGTTCCATGCTGATGGAATATTGCCTCATCGGTGAATATGTTGGAATGAACGCACATGGTCCCGCCTGAAACGAATTGGGCAGTGCAACCACACTTGGTTCCTGCAAACGACGATCCAGACTGCGACGGCAGAATAGGCTGTGCGGCAGCAAGTAGTCTTTAGGCGGCATGACTTTCCAAAACGCCTTTCTCAAAATGTCGCGTTCCATATTTGCAAAGCCTAATATTAAGGAATTCCTATTTTGCTAAGGTAGATTGTTGGAAGGTAACTTTTAGTCTACAAGAGCGTTGCCAATAACCCTTTACTCATTTGCTGGGATAACACTAAATACCTATTGCACGCTCCTTGCTCAGGCCAGTTACGTGTGTCGAAGCGTCACCACAATTCTACTGCAGTAGCCCGGTAATGAGGCACTGCTGTCTCCGTTCCACATCGTTTGTATCGATCGGTGAACTTTCGTTGTGGCGTGCTATAGCTTGACTCCAACTTAACCATCTATGCCTGATGCAGTGTTGTCACGATGGACGACACTGGCAAGTACACATGTACTCACATGCATGCATACGGTCGTTCTACACCCATGTGACCAGGTAAGACATTTTGAGATAGACCAACATCTACTTTTGGACGGTTGATAATTTTAATGCACTCTACCTCAGCCAAGGAGTGACCCTATGTCCCGCATTAACACTGTAAGCGGACGTGACTTTTGTGATATATGGTTCAATGTGTATTGATAATTGCGGCTGGCTTATCTGGCCAAGGTATATTTTGTGCGTTGCTTTTGTCGTTGGTTTTGATGTTAGGAACAGACTTGGATCTGCGCACATCTGTCTGTTTCGAAATCGTCTTAAAATACGGTGCCTAATGTCAGATGACAGTTAGAAAGTGTTTTATGATGAATTCTGGTTGTCTTTTCGAATGTGTGGTGAAGTTGGCGTGTAAGCCTTTAAATTAAGGTTTTGCTTTTCACACAAGGAATTACGTCATTATTATATATTTGAGTAGCAGTATGATCCAACAGGATGGACCCGACAGTTGTTATGCACTGATAGACACTCTTCGAACTGATTGGGATGTGCGTAGCCACAAGTATGTGTGACGAAGGCTGAAATGGTAACACAGGATTTAATGAGAGCACGGAAATTGTGGGGCCGTACGATAACCTAGTAGATAATAGTATCCGACACTCAGACCAGCCAGGAATTCCGTTGTCTACAACCACAGCAGGTGATATCTAGGGTGATCTGGACCTGATAGTTGTGGAAGTAGGTGTCACTGTGTAACAACTCCATGGATAGTAGTAGTCTACTAGAGAAGGTACGACAAGATGACGGTGATTTGTATGTCTGGTCGTCAGGTAGGAACTAGTGCGCAACAAATCGCCTTCCATTGACTTTTTAGGATGAAACGGAATGATCAAGATTCCGGCAGCATACTCCTACTTTTTTCTCAGCCATGGATCTTTAAAAAAATTAGCACTGTCAATCTCCTACTACAGAGTCACTACGGAGTAGGAGTTTTGTGGTCAAGGATTGGTCGATTTGTATTGTGGTATCAAGAATTGTGACAGAGCATATGGCATGGTTAGGTGTAAGTCTTTCAACGAGTGACAGACACCACACGGGTGACTGCAACCGCATACTGTGACAGACGTTACCCATACGAAAAATGCGATGAATTCGTTCGGAGCTTTGAAGTAGCCTAATCAAGAGTGAAATATCTTCGTTGTTCCCCCTGTAGGTTCGTCCTTATAGGTGCGCGCGACCCAGAAAGAACGCCCGCGAACAAGTTAGCCCATCTCATGACTCGCGTTGAAGCCCTATCTGCTGCACCACCAGGCGCGCTGGTAATTTTCCTGCAGCTTCAGTATACTTGTTGGAAAATTATGGCAAATATATATCCAGAAGAACGTTTAAACGACTGTATTCAAGAACAGATTGCTGCAGGCTGGATCCCATTAGTTCAGGTGAGTCATTTTGTAGGAAGCATTCGCCTAAATTACCGGTGACACCGTCATTGTCTAACCCTATTGGATTGGTCTACGAAACAAAGGAAATTAGAATAGCATTTGACCGGCACTGTTCAGCACTCGGCTTACTGCTCTTTTGTTGCGTCCTCTTGCTTTTGTATTTGCACTGGTCTGATGCAAACATCGCAATATTTTGGTACTATAGGAGGTTACCGAATTCGCGGTAGCTATATTGTTATGTTCGAAGGACTGATTAGGTGACGACAGTCCAGTTGATAGTAGATCTTGCGGTGGGTGTGTCAGACAGAACTGTCTGCGTTCGAATGATGAAACTAAGGGATAGGACAATGTTGTTGGTGCTTGCTACTTATGATGAAGCAGCTACTTTTGTCAGCACAACCCCTCGCGCATAAATCGACAAATTGGGACTGATTCTGAATGGGATTACTCGGTCTCCATTTAAGCAGTGAGAATACACTTTACTTAAGTAATTGGTGTATGTTAAGTAGTTGATGCGGAATGTTGGGACAACAGTCACCTCACATGGGTAATTTTTCATCCGAAATTTACAAACACCTGGATTCTCGTGTGGTTGCTGAAGTTTATTTTACAGCCACCACTGGTAACTTTAAAGTTCTCCTGTGTATCCACAATGTACTAAGTACATCCTGTCTGTCTGTTGCTTGCGGTAGACTTAATTGTGTCCATAGTGAGAGATCTCCTCCTCCTTTGTGGATGAACATTGTACTAGAGGTATGGAAGGCAGTGTTATAATTGAGTCGCCACTGTTATAGTTGAGGGAACGCCGCCTCTCGATATGCATTGTGTAATTGCCTAATAAGACTGTCGCTGGCATGGTTGGGGCACGCCTACGATGACGAATTGTAACGCTGGCCACTCGAACGGAGTTGCGCTGACCCGATGACGCTAGCTTAGCCGGTGAGACGGAAAATTGAGCGAGCGTGTGAACGATCCTAGCCGCACTTGTTCGCATAGACGCTGTACCCTCGGAACGGACACACACGAGAGGGGGGGTACGATAGACGCGCATTAATGACTTAGACGCTAAGGCTGGCCAGCTAACGACTCACAAGCAATCACGTGACACGACCGACTCCCAACTGAGGCGAAGAGAAAGAAAAGGCAAGTGATCCTCTGTAGGCTCTTTTACGACCAACAAAGGGCAATCACAGCCAGTGCTATGGGTTATTAAGTTAGGGAAAACAGTCACCACGAAGAGGTGGTAGTTTGCAAATGAGCATTGTCGAAAGGTGCGCAGTTGGACCGCGTCTCGGAGTAGCTGAGCTCTGCTGCGTTGTGGGGAGGAATTGGCCCTCGCTTTCCACAGCCATTCTGCTGGGATTTCTGGCGCGTTTTTGCGGGAATATTTGACGTGCCCGCAACAGGCAGTAATCATCCGTTCAGGTTATTTTGCGATTTTAGCATTAGTAACCATTAAACTTGATGCTCTCTAGGGATATACTGCAGGTGATCACCGGTTTATCTTTAAGAACAGTGAGTAAAGTGATTAACTTATGCATTACATAAAAAATAAAGGTTTTATTCCCGGCAGTGCGACTCACGCCGGTGATGTCAGTATCATGATATGCAAACAAGTATGGTCAAGAATTGTACAAAAATACAGCAACTTAACCAGTAACAAGGTGGATTTGTGTGTATGCATATAAGTAGGTGTATGTGTAAGTGGACATGGTGAGTGAACTTGTGAAGTGTGACTGGATTCGTGAGTTTATTTGCTGTGTTCGTCATCATCTAACGGGATCAGGGGAACTCTTCGAACTGGATGATATTTGTGAAGTGTGGAAGACCCTCGGAAAGCGGAAAAGGCAGTGACTTTATTTAGTGGCGAGTCACATCCGTCAAATCGCTGTGTTGTTAATCAGACCTTTGTGGCTTTTTATACAGAGAACGCTTACTACGCGAAAACCCTTCAGGACCTGGAACACGGACGCCGAACTATTCGCTGGAAAGGGGTTAACCTCAATCACCCAGCTTGCACTGCTTGGAAGTTGTTCGGCTAGCCAGCCAGTTGACAAGTATTTGACAATTATACATCGTGTTTTCATAAAACCGTGCTAGGAAGTGTTGATCAAATACCGAGACAGCGGAAATACAGTTATTTTGAGTTTATAGCATTAGTAACTATTAAACGTGATACCGTCTAGATATACTGGTGGTAATCATCGTTTTATTTTTGAGAACAGTTAGTAAGGTGATTAAATTACGTAGTACGCCGGGATGCTCGTCAGAATTGTCAGTATTATTTTGGTTATCTCTCGTTGCTACTCGTCGCGATGTCCTAGACCCGGCAACGTTTGACAACTTGGGAGCTCGGAATGACCCCCAACAAGGTATCATTGAGAGAGGATCCTAAAGCTTTATGGCAGAAGGTCCTTTGATGCTCTGATAGCTGTATTAGTGGTACCCGCACGTCTTAATTAAATAGGTGTTCCGCCTCAAATACATCTGAAAACTGATACAGACGTTGAGCGTGTCAAGGTCATGCTACACTACCTAGCCTGTGGAGCTGCATTGTGCGCGCTAGTGCGTGAGTGTCCATCTCCCGACTAACCAGCGATGCTTATTGATTAGTTCAAAAGCGAGTGCTTAGCTAAAACATGTGAACTGCGTAAAACTAAACAGTTGATCTGTACCCAGTGTGGACTGCCGATGTACTATTGCCATTGTTTCTACTATACTTCCATTTGCAATACTGTTGTTCTGATTTCGGTTGAGTGTAACAATTTGGCGACGGAGGTTATTCTGATTGCTCATGGCAAATTCAATAACGGCACCCCAACCCTTTTGGAATTCTGCTACTGAGAGGCCTACTGCGCAACAATGGTTGCACTGGAAAACTACATTTACTAACTACGTTGGTTTACTTTTGCTCCTTGGCGGAAATTGCACGATGGATGATGCAGCGAAAATTAAATTACTACGCCACCATCTCGGCATCGAGGGCCAGCGACATTTCGACAGTTTATCTTTAAGAACAGTGAGTAAAGTGATTAACTTATGCATTACATAAAAAATAAAGGTTTTATTCCCGGCAGTGCGACTCACGCCGGTGATGTCAGTATCATGATATGCAAACAAGTATGGTCAAGAATTGTACAAAAATACAGCAACTTAACCAGTAACAAGGTGGATTTGTGTGTATGCATATAAGTAGGTGTATGTGTAAGTGGACATGGTGAGTGAACTTGTGAAGTGTGACTGGATTCGTGAGTTTATTTGCTGTGTTCGTCATCATCTAACGGGATCAGGGGAACTCTTCGAACTGGATGATATTTGTGAAGTGTGGAAGACCCTCGGAAAGCGGAAAAGGCAGTGACTTTATTTAGTGGCGAGTCACATCCGTCAAATCGCTGTGTTGTTAATCAGACCTTTGTGGCTTTTTATACAGAGAACGCTTACTACGCGAAAACCCTTCAGGACCTGGAACACGGACGCCGAACTATTCGCTGGAAAGGGGTTAACCTCAATCACCCAGCTTGCACTGCTTGGAAGTTGTTCGGCTAGCCAGCCAGTTGACAAGTATTTGACAATTATACATCGTGTTTTCATAAAACCGTGCTAGGAAGTGTTGATCAAATACCGAGACAGCGGAAATACAGTTATTTTGAGTTTATAGCATTAGTAACTATTAAACGTGATACCGTCTAGATATACTGGTGGTAATCATCGTTTTATTTTTGAGAACAGTTAGTAAGGTGATTAAATTACGTAGTACGCCGGGATGCTCGTCAGAATTGTCAGTATTATTTTGGTTATCTCTCGTTGCTACTCGTCGCGATGTCCTAGACCCGGCAACGTTTGACAACTTGGGAGCTCGGAATGACCCCCAACAAGGTATCATTGAGAGAGGATCCTAAAGCTTTATGGCAGAAGGTCCTTTGATGCTCTGATAGCTGTATTAGTGGTACCCGCACGTCTTAATTAAATAGGTGTTCCGCCTCAAATACATCTGAAAACTGATACAGACGTTGAGCGTGTCAAGGTCATGCTACACTACCTAGCCTGTGGAGCTGCATTGTGCGCGCTAGTGCGTGAGTGTCCATCTCCCGACTAACCAGCGATGCTTATTGATTGGTTCAAAAGCGAGTGCTTAGCTAAAACATGTGAACTGCGTAAAACTAAACAGTTGATCTTGTACCCAGTGTGGACTGCCGATTTACTATTGCCATTGCTTCTACTAAACTTCCATTTGTAATACTGCTGTCCTGAGTTCGTTTGAGTGTAACAATTTGGCGACGGCGGTTATTCTGATTGCTCATGGCAAATTCAATAACGGCACTTCTACCCTTTTGGAATTCTTCTATTAAGGGGCCTACTGCGCAACAATGGTTGCACTGGAAAACTACATTTACTAACTACGTTGGTTTACTTTTGCTCCTTGGCGGAAATTGCACGATGGATGATGCAGCGAAAATTAAATTACTACGCCACCATCTCGGCATCGAGGGCCAGCGACATTTCGACAGTTTACAATCACATACGAAGCGAGACCTAAAAACTGCGTTCTATTCGCTGGACCGAATATGGGGGCAAAGCTCCATGTGTTTACTGCTCGGTATAAATTTAGCACCATGCGACAACAACCAAATGAGACTGTAAATGAGTTTATCTCCCGTCTTCTTACTGCTCATCCTGACTGCGCCTAGGATCAGATCTTACCAGCCCATTTCGAAGAAGCGATGCTGTTACAGGCATTAATCGTGGATGTTTTAGATGAGAAGGCACGAGAACGTCTGCTCTCCGAAGATTAAACGCTACTGACGTGGGAGAAAGCATGTGATATGGTCCGACAGCGTGCCAACCTCGTCCAGGAAATAGCCGCATTTCCCTCTTCAAATCAGTCAATCTCACATGACGTAAACACGGTCTACCAGACTAACCGTGGACATGCCTTACCTCGCCCCGTACAGCCCAAGGAATTCCGTTGTTACCGTTGCGGGGAGAATCACTTGTCC